GGCTAATTTACATCTGCAGTCCCTCATGTAAACGCCCTCCTTTTAAGGTCCTGTTAATATATTTCAGGGAAGTCACAGATGGAGAGGATCAGTCTCTCATGCTTCTTCATATTCTTTCCTAGTCTAGCTTAAAGTGAAACTAAGTATTTGTGTGTGTGTGTGTGTGTGTGTGTGTGTGTGTGTGTAGAAATGATCCAAGTATCTTAGTTGCTGTCAGTCATAATAGTGACATAGTAGCAAACATAATAATACAATTTTTCAAAATGTACAAATGTGCACCACCTAAATATTATAATTTTAGTATGTGTGTATGTGCTTGTTAGTCTTGCATCATCACAGTGGTGACAGACATATGGCACTGAGTGCAGGCCTCATGGGCCCACAGGGAAGCCTACGGGTCTAACATTTGAACATAATAATAAAACAATTAAACATTACTATTTGTGAGTCAGACACATACTGAAATACAAAATGAAAACATAAATACAACTAAATATTTTCTTTGGGTAGGTTGAAACAATTACATTGTTGTTACAACTAACCCAAACTCTTGTAGCCATGAACTAGCTTACCTTACAGTTTACAGCTAAAACCTTAGCACTAACAGCTTGCATTAAAGATATATACATGGACACACAATAAACATGATTTAAGACAAAACATGCAATGCTATAACAAATTCTTGAGGTGATTTGTAACTTCCTGATTGGAGAAATTAGATGTGTTACAACTGACCTGTGTTACAACCACTCCCGGTCTCCCCTATGTTTTGTTTGTGTAAAAATGCTTTTCTTACTCACTTTGAACAACAAGGTTGGTGTTTCCTTCAAATGAACCACTAGGAAAGGCTGCAATGTTGCAGGTGTATGACCCTGCATCTCTCATTTCCACTTGTCTAATTATCAAGGATTGTTCTTTAATGTCCACTCTCTCCTTCAGAAATGTATTTTGAGCAGCAATTCCATAGTTCCCATTAGAAACAATAATGTTCAGTTTCTCTCCTTGTGGTGGATTCAGATCCCACTGAACCTGAGCAACATTTTCGCCTTTTGATCCTGGGATAAAGTGGCATGGCAGGGTGACATCCTGCCCGAGGTATCCAGTCACTTCAGGCCAGACTTTGACTTTTTGTGCCTCAAGAACTGCCAAGAAAATAATGCGATGTGATGATTTGGTGGCAGAAGTAATGTTGAACTCTGACTACACTGTTTACACTCTGATTGACTTTGTTTCTATTAGTAATTACTCAACTGACCTTTTTTCAGACAGAGTAAGGCACGTTACATACTAATCTTTCTACATCTCTGAATATTTACTGTAATAAAGCTATGCATGTATTATTATAGAACTTGGCTCTAAAATTTGTTTGTAAAAAGAGGTTCCCAAGAAGTTTCACAACTGAGTCTCAAAAACATTTCATGTCATGTCATTTTAATGAGATAAAATAAATATTAGCCTAAACTAAATTATATGTTCCACACACAGAAGCCTTCATACAGTACATAAGATGCAATGTAATCAGCCTTTAAAAAAGTTTAAAGTTTAAAACATTTTGTCTTACCTGGGAGTAATGTGATGTACATCAACTCCAGCAGTATGATAGGTGATTTGCTGCAAGTTTTCATTGTGCACAACTACAGGCTGTGGAATAAATAACAGAAACCCCTTTGAATACAACACAGTCCTGCTGTGCGTATATGTTAAAATAGCATGTCATGCACTGGTAGAAGAAGTACTCAGATATAAGTAAAAATAGTAATCCTACAGTGCAGAGGTACTCTCTGTTACAAGGGAAAGTAAATGTACAAAAATTAGCATAAAAATATACTTAAAGTAGCCTACCAAAGTAAAAGTGCCCAATTATTCAGAATGCCGATTTCAAAATAATACTATAGCCTACTAGTGTAATTAATTAAAAAGTGCATTAATGTGTTCATTACATCAATGTTGCAGCTAGTAAATGTGGAGCTCGTTTTAACTATATATGTATATAGTAGTGGACAGTTTCATAAAAATACATAATTATTAGTTGATTATATTTTGTATTATATTAAGTAATTATTAACTAAAGCTGTCAGCCTATGTAAATGTAGTGGGGTACAGGTAAGCCAACATAAACCTCAAAAAATACAGTGCTCACTGATCTCATGTGCCAGCTTTTGAACAAGCAGCTTTCAAGTCAACATTCATTGTTTCAAAGAGACAGAGGCAAAGAGACAAAGAGGAACAACACAACGCTGCAAAACCAGGGCTTGAATAATTATCGAGAAGACTCAGATACTAAATTGCCTAAAAGTCGTAGCCCACTGTAAGGTATAGGCTATACAATATTTTGTCCACTCCCTGCTTCAAGCTTCAAGTTTAAGTAAACTTCCAAATCTTTTGTGTAACAAAACAAGTGAAATGGTCTTAGTACCCTAATTAAAATAACTTACCCATGAAAGAGAAGAGGATCCGGTCACTACTGCGGCAGGAAACAATTCATCAGCTCTCTCCACTTTTACCAGGGATAAAAACTACATGACAACTCTTACAGGCGGCTCGTTTCTAGCTCGCGTTCAAGTCTGCAATTTCCAAGTCAAAATGAGCATGATTTCCTATCCTTTGCTTATTCCCCACCGCCACCCAAAAGATACAGACCAGTAGAACAGTGACCTCGTGCGACAAATGATGATACTGACGTCAAAAAAACCCTAACGTGATGTTGAATTTATTTATTTATTATTTATTTGAGAAACTAGCTTACTACTGGAAATGGCCATTACCATACAGGAAATACTGAATTACGGTTTGTGAATTTAGAGCTGTATCAATATCAGACATTCTCTGATTCTTTCAGTTGCAATACCACAACAGGATGTAGTAAAAGTCAATATCACAGCAAAATAATTATATAAAGTTATGTTGCTTTTGGGTCCATGTGCATGGACCCTTTTGCCACCTTGTGCTACCAGCCAAAAACAAAAATCACGTTTTATTTGTGATGGCAAATTAAAGCACACAAATATGACTTGTTTTATTGTCGTGGTGCAATTCAAATTTTCCTTACTTACATATATGATCAGCTATGATTATCAATACTGTTTGGGAACTGTTTGGCTGTTACATACAGTTACATAATCCGCCACCAATTTGATATAAACATATTAATGTCTTAGGTGATGCCTAATGTCCTCTTTATTTATGTGTAAAAATAATCATTATGCATCCCTAGGTTTTAGTTGCCCTGCATACATGCTGTGGTCCTGCATGCCTATCAGAGTTACTTCTTACTATGCGTCAGAATCTGATTCATGTACACCTGCATTCAGACCATTGCAGCATCAGTGGTAGATAGCAGCTGGAAAGGAGTCCACAAATGATATCATGTCAGGTCAATCTCAAAGAATATGAAAAATTTAACATACTGAATAATGACTTTCTAATCAATGGATAGAAGGGCACAATCTAAAGACTAAAGCAGAAAACTGTCTGAATAGATTTTTACCACCACATGTGCTCAGTCTGTTAATTAATTAAGATACAGCTCATCTTCCTCAACAGTTTTAGTTAATATGCTGGATGATAACAGTGTGAAGAAACAAAAGAGCACAAAGCAGTGTGTTCATTTCATGGCCTCACACCAGTGACCTTGTGTCAAGCCTCATGAAGGAAGCTGCATCTTATAAAAGTGATGTATAATTATCTCCTCCAATCAGAGCCCCAGGTGCTCAACAGGCTAATCGGGTCAGGTATGCAAAGCTTTGCCTGTTTCAGTTTGTTGAACTCAGCTTGTTGCCAGCATGTAAATTACTGATTTACAGGGCAAGACAGGAATAACAACTGCATCAGGCACAGCTCTGCATCCTGAGTTACATTGGTCAAAGCATGCGTTCTTACTGGAGAAGGTGGTGCATTGAACATTGTGAATGTGTGGGTAGAGTAGGCTAGAAATAGCTAGAAATGAACAAATACAGTTATGTTTCATCTCAGTGCTTTTCGTAAAGAACACTGAAAAGGAGGGTTTATGTTTATATACTGTATAAAGCGGAATCTGTTATTATTCTGACAGTATAACTTCTACTTTCAGTCATTTGTGTTCTTCAGCTCTGTCTTCATGTTGTTTTCCTGGTGGGTGTTACAATAGAAGTGTCAAATTCACTCAGTGAAATGGCTTCTGTGCTGCTGCAAGTGTCATGGTCAACACTGGTGGAATGTAACTAAGTACATTTACATAAATACTGGACTTACTTTAAGTACAATTTCGAGGTACTTTAGTTCATTATTTCCAAATTATACAACTTAAGTTAGTTCTACTCTACATTTCAGAGGGCAAGAATATGCTTTTTCCTATATATTTATCTGACTGATCATTACTGGTTACTTTTCAGATTCACATATATACATACATACTATGCATGCACACACACACACACACTACTCGTGCACTTTTTCCTTCACTGGTGGTCAATGTAATACTTCATCCCACAGCTTCCTTCGAGCACATGAGTGTAGGCTGCATTTAAGTTAAAATGAAAACACAGAGTCTGTAGCCACAATAATTCTGTTAAACAGACAGTAAAACTTCAAATAAAAGCTAAGTCCCGTTTAGATGCCTGTCCCTTTTACTGGCCTGGTGTGGCCACGCGTTTTGACAAATAAAGGCAAGTCTCAATGAGACGCCTGGTCTGGTTTTCTCGATTTATAAAACCCCTTAAAGCTCACTGGGTCACCAGCTTGAGCTAGTGCATACATATGTAAATACTTAAACTTTCGACAATATGGACTTGTTACACATCGTTAGATTGGTTAGATTTTCCACAATTCAGTCGTGTTAGTGAGCAAAAAGTATTATTCATTCATATTTAGCAGCAGCATTATATGGTAAACAAGAGAGATGAGGAAAAAAGAGATGACTCCTGACCTCTGAAGTGGCCATAAAGTCAGAATGTGTGTCCATTCCTCGATTATTTGTAATTCTTCAGTCCATAAGACCACCGATCAAAAGAATTACACCGTGTTTTCATAAAGTTAATCCAAGTTGAAATAACTATGGTAACCTTTGGCTTTCATCCCAGAAGGTCTCTCTGTCTTTTAATTTTATAGCAGCAATATTTATAATGGGTGAAAAAAATAATGGGTGAAAAAAACAATTTGATTGTTTGTTTCATTCGCATCTTTGCTGAGCT